ATGAAGGTTCCAAAATTATGGGTTTCACCTATAGCGTCTCATAATTTCACTGACAAGTTTACAGATGTACAGCAGAATACTTTTTAATTTAAAAATTAATAAATTAAAGAAAATGATATTTTTATTATTATGCATATTTTATTTTATTAATAATAATAATATATTAAAGGGATAGGATTTTCAAAATCAATGCATCCTATACATCATAATCACAGCAGCAAGCAATGGCAAAGAAAATATAGGTAATGCAGTGCAGATACCTTTAATAACAGTACCCAATCATTCCCTTCTGCAAGGGACTTGAAAACATTAACAGCAACATTCCATGATGAGGCCACTGAGAGAGCAAATTTATGTGACCTATCTTCTGACAAGTGAAACCATGACTTGGGCATTTTCTCAACAGTATATCCCAACCTGCACAAGCATAAAATATAGCAATAGTTCGCATTTATGTTTGCATAAAAAACTTCCATGCTTCTAACAACTGGATTGACTTAAGGATGATCATAATAATAATAAATCATTGGACAAGTTAATAGTACCATACAATGTTAATTGGCAACAGCAATATTCAATAGTACATAGTATACTTACATTTTTGCAGGTAGAATGCCATGGATGAATAAAAAGATCGATGCAAACAATAGAAGCTTTGTCAGAGCACTAATGATGGTATTTTCAGATGCAATGAAGTTGAAGTATATTGCAATGAAGACAAACAATGTGATGAGAGTTTGCTTTTTATCCTTCCAAAGCAACGTGTCAGCAACTGCAAATTAGCAGATCAATCAAAATTACAGATAAATAAATGTAAGCTGTAAAATTACTCCCAGCACAAATCGGTTACACTATAGTGTTTGCATAGGAGGTAGAAGAGATCTAACATTGATCACGTAAATAGACAACAACCAGTCAATTTTTATAATCAACTACGTTAGAAATATTAACACCAAAATTTGAACTTTTGAGTTCAATAGCTGTTTCAGGCTACTTAGAACTAGCACATCAGACACAGTCTCCCTTTATAACAAATTAAAAAAAGAAACTACCAAGATTGAAACATATGGATAATACGTAGTACATGATGATGTGATTGTGAGTACAAACAACAACTTCCTGCTCTATCTATGACAATTCACCTGTGGAAAATAAATGTTATGTATTTAATGTCTACGAAAATGTTCTTGATCATAATCTAATCAGATTCATGAGACAATCGAAGTCAATCAACCACGTGATACAGTAATGGAAGAGCAGTAGCCATGTTTCTATTTATTTATTTTATCAGCAGCCATGTTTCTATTTATATATGGCAGTTAGATTAACAGATTAATTCTCCTATACAAGGAAGTCCAGATTGTCCAACAAAGAAGTCTACATATAATTGATTATTCACACCTCTTCCACTTCCAAGATATTTGGAAGCTTTTGAGGGACCTTCTCTTGTAGTTTTAGGTTGATTTTCTGCCTTCAAGTGTGCATATGATTCAATTGTCCTCTGTAGGCCCTCCTGCAAGAAAAAAAACGATATCATTAGTATGGGAGAAACACCCAGGCAAGTATGATTATGTATATACTCACAGCAATAGATGTAATAACCTTAGTACACCACTGAAATATCATTTATTTAAGAATAGCATCTCATACTTGTTTTCATAATATATCATATAATCCTAACTTGGCATTGTCAGTGATTTCGGGGGCATGAAGTTAGCCAACTTCTCAGCATGAACAAGATGAATGTCAATAATAGATGCTAAAATATATTATTACTTTTCATAAATATCAGAGACCTGCATTTTTACGATGGGGGCATAGCCAAGGCGATCCTTTGCTTTTGAGCAATCAAAAGTTCTGCTGCAGGTCACTAGTCTTATCCTTGAAGGGGTTAACTGAGGCACCGGCATCCCATATGGGCCAAGCAGCCTATATATCCACTCCACCAAATGCGCAATGGGTAAGATAACAACGGTAGGGATCTTTATTCTTGGCCTGCAAAAGATAGCATGACTCAGATAACATAAAAATAGCTTTGATAATGCCTCTGTAATGTTCATGTTTGTTTATCTGAATGAAAAGGCATAATTATATTCCTTATTTATTTCAAATGTAAATGCAAGAAATTTTAAAACTTAGGAATGATTGATTAATAACCGAGGTCATTATTCTAATTAACATATAGAAGTCATACTTAAGAATAAAATAGATAACAAAATAATAGCCACTGGTTAGGATAGCAAGACAAAAAATCCCATAATTCAACATCCCTAATTGACAGCAACTTGAGCTCATGATGATAAAGGACAACCGAAATTTGCAACTTTCATACTATGAAACAAACATATGAAAAGGATATAAAAGTGTTAACTGAGTATAATCACATAAGAATTTTATTCATAATCTGAAAATTGAAACTGCCACCACGTTCCCTTTTACTATGAATTCAGCAGGGGAGACACAGAGTAAATAGATGTCTGTTTTTTTTTCTTTAACACGACAGTTGCATTGGGGTTAGAACCTACGATCCCAACCACTAGACCAACCCAGTGGTCCACAGTTCAAGATAGTTTATGTTACTCAATTTTTAAATATTGGTAAATTTTCCATAGATAGGCTCGGTGTTTGATTACGATTTGACTACTGGTCATCTAGGATTATAAATACTCCTTTTCTGAGATTCAAATTGGTATTTTCATAAATTATTCGTAAAAACAAATCTTAAAAAATTGCATGAAATATTGGTTTGAATCCTTGGTTACACTATGGGAGAATCTCAAATAAAATAATAAGAGAGAGGTTACTTAACAAGTAAGAAATAACTAATGGTGACGGTATGTAGAAACTACCTTTCATATCCAAGACCATCCAATACCACTGACACGAACTCCCAAAATTTCATAGGCTCCATATTTGTTATGAAATATGCCTAAAAAACAAATACCCGTTAGCAATCAAATACTATAGTAATTGCTAAGTTTCCTACCTTGCAAATCAATAATTTTCCCTCCCCTTTAGTATGAGAATGCAAATGATTCATTCTTAATTTAAAAAAGGTCTCTGGCAAGTCTTTCTCAACAAGCATCCTTTCATGTTTCCTCATTTTCCCAAATGAAGAGACTCTACCCTAAAGCTTCAAACACATCATCATCATCTCTCTAAGTCTACTTTTTAATCTTCATTTACAAATAAAAATAAACAGAAGTTACTTAGTCATAACAAAATCTCAGTGGTACCTCTCCAGCAGCTTTTTCTGAAACTGGACCTTCTGAAGCCAGAGCCCGTTCTGCACATATATGGGCATGAGCCACATTTCCAACATACGTGAAATCATAAATGTTATTCCCATCGCCAATAAGGAACTGGTCAAAAGGGAAATATAAATAAGAGAATGAAAGAAAGGATGAAGGCAGTTTCTGCTAATAAGTAGTTAATTGCTTTGCAAACATTAAGCTATAAAGAAAAATGTTTTAGTTAGCAGTCTGAGTCCAATTTCATTCGATCTGGGCTAGTCTCTGATTATTCAAGATGTTCCTAAGGCTAATAAAAAAATTCAAGATTACATTTACATTAGTACTGAATTAGTAACTTATACAGTAAAAAGTACCATGTATTTACTAAGACTCCAAATATGCACAACAAATAATAACCTCGAGTGTCAGCCCAATTGGTTACATACTAAAACAAGTCAATAGGCTAAAAAAAAACAGTCAAACAAAAGGTTAAATTATTTCATTGGACTCAACTGTAATAGATACATTTCCTGCCTTAGAAATGATGCTAGATATACAGGCACTGAAATACATACCATTAGGATGGTAAACAACATCTACCTTAGATTTCCCTTTTCTGGCAGTATCAACTAGCGTAGGCACCAACAGTCTGTCACCGGGCCCAAAAATGCTGCTAGGGCGTATGCAGCACGTTAAGAGCCCATTAGTCCCATTAGCTTTAATAACCAATGTCTCACCCTCGGCTTTAGTAGCTGAGTAATGATCATTAGGCTGAAACAAACAAATAGAATTACTCTTAGGATCACCCCGAACTAGTCTTATAACATACATATAGCCCCGGTTCTGACATTATACATTATCTATCTTTCTCAAGCTCCATGTGAAGAAACGCATGGTAATTTGTGAATTAAGTAAAAGAAGAGTTCCTAGAGTGTATACCGAAGGTGTATAAGGCATTGTTTCGTCACCATTATGAATCCCATGAACGCCATCGAAAACAACGCTGGGAGAGCTGGTGTAAACGAGTCGCTTCACTTTCTGCTCCACGCAAGCATCGATGACATTCTTTGTTCCTTGCATAGGAAAATCTCAGTCAGATTCAAACTTTGAACAAGCAAACAAGCAGAAGAGTGAGGTTCACCTTGCACATTGACGGAATAATGAAGATGGTAGTTGTTAATGGAAGAGTTTGGAGCAGCCATGTGGAACACAACATCAACTCCTTCTAATGCTGCACTACTCGTAAAACCAACATTAGCGAGTACGCGCGCGAGACAAAATTGTTGCTACAATTGAGAGAGAACAGAAAAGGTTCATCACCTTTTAGCACTTGAGCCTTGTTGCGAAGATCGAGGGAGACGTATTGGGCCCGGCCAGAGTGCAAGGCCTGGCCGAGAAGCCCCAACTGTTCGGCGGGCTCGAGAACAATGCTGTCTTCCAAATCGGCGATGCGGATGGAGTATTCGTTGTGCCGGATTAACATTTCCACCAAATGCCGGGCGGCGAAACCCCTGCCTCCAGTCACCACGCACCACTTGTCTTCCGCTGCCATAGTTAAACAAAAAGCTCACAGATTCAAACACAGTGTGGAGGAAATAATAAAGCAGTGCAGGCTTGTCTTTCTCACATGCGAAAAAACGCGAAAAAAAAAAGGCTTGGGTATGGGCCCGCGCAAGGCGAAGATGGGCTTGGCCCAAGAGCAAAATACATTTCATATCACTCACTTCCCGCTTAAAAATTTGAAACGCGTATCGTATTTGTTTCGAGTTCTGGCGTAGAGTAGAGAAGAGATTATTTCCACAATGAATTGGGACGAGAACGATGAATTTGAGATCCCTCTTACTCAAACGGCAATGGCTTTTCACGAGCTCGATTCCGTCGACAAAAATCAACGGCCATTGAAGAAACCAAAACGCAAAACGACGGCGCTTCGTGGCAGTGGCAAGGAGAACGTCCGACCCAGCGAGGGCTGCGAAATTCTGAACTGCAGCTTGGATTTCATTCCTTCCTCCCTAGATTGTATTTCGGTTTGCAGCGTTCAACACTCAGAACAAGACGACAGTGATTCTTCTTCCGCGTCTTTATCGGAGCTGAAACAGAAGGGGAATTATCTTCACAACTCGATAGAGTCGAAGCTGGTGGTTCCGAGAATCGGCGAGCTTAACGCTGCAGATGCAGATTCTGATTCGGAGCTTGGTCTGTTGATGAATTTGTGCGACGAGTTGGAGGAAGTAGATAGTTCCGTTCGGTGTCCCCTTTGTGATGTTGATCTTTCGAATTTGACTGAGGAGCAGAGACATCTTCATACCAATAATTGTCTTGACAAAGGCGATAACGTGAGATTCACACCCTTTGCACAACAGTAACAACATTTGTGGTGATTGAAGTGGGGGAACTGTATAATTTCAATTCAATTATAAGTTGTGAAAATGCTGTGCAGGTTGCGGTTCCTGAAGACGATAAGGGTGCTCCACATGTGCCAAAAGTCGCTTCTGTTGTTGATTGGCTTCACGGGCTCGGTTTGGGAAAGTATGAAGTGATTTTCGTTAGGGAAGAAGTTGATTGGAACACCTTGCAATGGCTCACAGAAGAGGTTTACTTATGTCATTTAATTGGTCTCATTCATTCCAGTAGTTTTAGGTTCATAACCTCTGCCTCATATGCTGCTTGAATTTATTTATGGGTTTTATTAGTTCATTGATCTCCATTTATGCTTTGAAGAATTGTTTGTTTAATTTTCAGCTTTACGTAAACAATTGGAATTTGTCGTTGTTATTCTCCTCTCCCCCACTGATGGGAAATGTAGTTACTTGCAATTTTGGTGGTCTAGAGTGTTCATCAAGACCGCTTATCTTAATGAGGTTGTCATTGGAAATATAAGGATATCTTTGCTTTTGTTTTTCGGTATCCCAAATATACTACGGTTTGCTTGTGTTAAGTGTTTGTCTATTTACTTTCTTATTTAAGATTAATGTTTTCCAATATTTTTCCTCATTTCTCTGTATCTGCAGGATCTCTTAAGCATGGGCATCACTGCATTTGGGCCGAGAAAAAAGATTGTGCATGCCCTGTGTGAACTAAGAAAAGGAGATGCCGCTGCAAATGAGAAACAAGGGGGTTCGTTGGCGGAGCCTGTAAGGATTAGAAACCAGAAAGTCAAATTAAAGCGAGACAAATCTGAAAGAAAAACTGACGGCTCTATTAAACCACCAGCAAACAAATTGATTACTGAATATTTTTCGGGATTTGCTTCCAAAGAAAAGAAAGTTCCTGCCTCTCCTGGAGAACAAAAGGAAATGAAAAAAAGTGACTTGGATTCTGGTCGTAAGCACAAATCAAAAAATGTGACAACAAATAGAAAGCTCCGTGATGTTCCCAAATGGTGTTCTGTACAAGGAACGCCTTTCCGAGTGGTAAATATTTAGTTTAAATGATACATTTGTATTTGACTTGATTTAGTGTATATTGCCTTCGTGTATCCATTTGCGACTCTGGAAATATCTTAGCAAGAAGGAAAGTCTTTTCTAAATTACCTAAAAGAGGAAAAATCCTTGTTTTTTACATTCAAGTGTGCTGCTTGGTAACTGTTTTCAACATCCATTCAAATGCTTATTGGCCACTTGGACGACTATTTTCAAATTGAGCATACACATCAATCACGTTTAATGTTGACCTTCTGAACTAGCAAAAGAAAATTAAAGAAAATGAGCAAAATATGTATGCAATATTCATGCCAATAAATTATGAACGTTAACATCCAGGAAACTTCTGCTATTCTATCACCATTATCGCTCTATCAAGTCTTGATGTAGGTCCGACTGTCTGACAAATACGTTATTACATGCAGGATGCTTTCAAATATCTCAGAGGAGATTGTTCCCACTGGTTTCTCACACACTTCCACTTGGACCGTAAGTCTACTTCTGCATGTTTCCTTTTAATCTTTATCATAAAACAATTTTAGTCTTGTTGAGTCACACTGTTTTCATGCTCTAAACGTGTTTATGTATATATGTGTTTTACGTACACACACAGAGAGATGTGATCCTATTTAGTAGACCTCGTATTCTTAGCTCTTGGTAGATTCGATGTAACAGTTGGCACACGGATCTCCAACAAATGGTCAGCTTAGTAAGTTTGAGTGATTGTTTTGGTTTGTTTTCTCTACATAATGCTTGACTTTAGTCATAAAATTTGGATATGCAATTACTTTACTGTGGAAATCTTATTCATAGTGGGAGATCGAAGATGTTCATCATGAAAAACAATGTAGTAACGAAGTAGTTTTGGTGCTTACACGTCGAAATGCATTATTGAATGTGCTATAAAACCGTGGATTCTGTTTTCTTCCAAACTGCATTTGGGTGTTTGTATCCGAAAAGAAAAATCAGTTTCAGATCACGTTAAATCGGAGACATTTGTTTAAACTACCAAATAAATAATTAATGGAGTTCATGGTGTGCCGGTCCTTTTAAGTGGATCGTTACCATCAGAGTCAAAATTTTCCAAGTGACGCCTTGGCTGTTGGTTCTCATTTGTGATCACGTTAAATTGCAGATTATCAAGGTCTTACCAAGTCATTCAATCATGGAAAGATTTATTGCTCCTCCATTACAGCTAGATTAGTAAATACGAACATTGGAATTTCATATGATAAATTACATGTTTTGCCTCTGAACCAAAAGATTGAAATAGCTGGTGTTGATGTGACTTGCTTTGATGCCAACCACTGTCCAGGTTCCATACTCGTACTCTTTCAACCTCCGAATGGTAAGGTGTGGCTTGGATTGACTTATGAGCTTTTTTATATTTCGCATTGTTATGTTGTAATTGATTAATGACTAGATGTTTTCCTTTTAGGCTGTGCTGCACACGGGTGATTTCCGGTTTAGTGACGAAATGACAATCAATCCCTTACTCAAGATGTGTCCTATCGATACTCTAATTCTTGATACAACATACTGCAATCCACAGGTTAGTTCGATATGAATGATGGACTCATCTGAAAAATTACATGAATGTGTAAGCTTTTATTCGGGAACCTGGCCTCCATAAATTTAATTTTTTATTCAATAATAGAATAAACTAATGATGGAGAATCACATCACAGTCCAGCTACTCGAGATTAAGACAAAGTGAAGTTTTCTAGAATCCTTGTCTATATTGGATACTGACATGGCAACTGATGGTTGGCTTAGCAGTGGCAATGTGCAATATCTTATCAAGAGCCAAAGTCTGCCAATTTGATGCAAATTTGATTCGGGTGTTTGGGAGAAATAATCACTTATATTTGCTAGCTTCTTGAAGAATCTTTTGAAATATAGGAGAATGTTTCTTGGATTTTAATCTTTTCCAGTAATGTTGTTAGTTTTCTATACAAAGTAAAGCTCCGTTTGGTTCATTTTTAGTTAGATAAAGTTGCTTTAAGGAAAAAAGTTCAACGTGAAAACTTTAGAAAGTTATCCAAAGAAACTAATGTGTTTGAGTTAATGAGTAATAGTATGCCTGATATCGCTTGTTATTTGAATAAAGTAATACTAACTTACAAGCGTGATTGACAGAGACGGTCTGAACAATTTACTACAGAAATAGGTTGGTAATACTTTATTCTTATCAGACGATCGAGTATGCAACCCTAGAGTTTTTTTAATTATAGTGGTGGTGAAAATCCTCACTGCTTTCTGAAAATATTTTTAAAATGGGTGTATTTTTACAGTTCTAAATCTTTAATGTTTAAACCATTCGTAAGTAAATTAATTATAAACTGATAATGATATTCTGATTTATTCTATAAAACATAAACGATTAAATTTAATTCTTTTGAAAATAAATGACCAAATTGAATGTAAGGATAAAAGACTGGGTAGAATCCAGTCTAAACTGAATGAAAAAGTGACAAAATGCACGATTTTTTTTCCTTTTCCAAAGTCTTTTCTCCAAAAACACGAGTACATCCATTTCTCTTAAAAATCATTGGACATAGTTTTATAAGTCACTGAATTAGATTCAGTTTGTTAAAATGAGTTCATAACGTAATATGCTTTTTCCTTTGACTCTAATAATTCCTTTCAATATTTGCAGTATGACTTTCCGAAACAAGAGGCTGTAATACAATTCGTCATTGATGCCATTCAAGCAGAAACTTTTAATCCCAAGACTCTTTTCCTGATCGGCAGCTATACCATTGGTAGGTTTCCATAGAGTTGTGTCTGTGGTAGTATTGCCCCATTAGTAAGAAATTGATGAGGAAAAATAATACAATTTTCGATTTTCTCCTCCCGTCCCTATTTTGACTTGTTCTTTTAGGAAAAGAAAGGATATTCTTGGAGGTTGCTCGCGCGCTTAGTAAAAAGGTTCACGTGACTGCGGCAAAGTTGCGTCTTTTAAAATGTTTGGAATTTAAGGAGGAGGATATGCAGTGGTTCACTTCAAATGAACATGAAAGCAACATTCATGTTGCCCCTATGTGGACGCTCGCAAGCTTCAAAAGATTGAAGCACATATCAAGTCAATATAAGGTGAGTGCTACTGCTAGTTTTTCTGGCAGAGGCACTATGTGCTTAACTTTGTGGTATTTTTTTCAATGTAAAAGGATCATATCTTGATGTACGCATATAGGTGTACTCCCTCCGTCACTAATCATAAGACCCTTTCTATTAATTGACACATAAAAATTAATTAAATTAGTTACAAATAATAAATTTGATTGCAATGTGTATTATGTTTTCAAAATTACATTTGTCAACGAAACTTTGGTATCTGAAAGTACTAACATTCTCAAACCACATTAGAGAGTAACTGTCATTCATTTATGAATTTCTTTTGGTAAAAACATGTCGATTGAATAACATTATTTTAAGAAGAAATAATTAATAAATCATTCAACTATAAAAATATGTTATAGAATGAGACCACAGTTTTCTTTTAAAGAATATTATAAATAGGACGGAACAAGGAGTAGTATTTTTCTTCACACATTTTTTATCTATAATATTTTTTCAAGAGCTGTTCCATGATTGAATATATTGGTGGCTGGATTGTACAGCTTTAGAGGAGGATATTTATACTGAATTGCATTTGTCTTTTAACAGTTTAGCTCCACGTTTCTAATCATCGGATGCCTTTTCTTTAATTAGGACCGGTACAATCTTATAGTTGCTTTCTCCCCCACTGGTTGGACGTTTGGCAAAGGTAAAAAGAAGTCTCCCGGAAGAAGATGGCAGCAGGGTACTATTATAAGGTAACACTTTAATTTCCTTCATTACTTGTTTTATTAAATACTTCTGGTCAGAATCTTGAATCATATACATGGATTACGTCCTTATAAAACACATAAGATTTTTTTTTTCTACCTGTGGACAATAGAGTTTGTTTTACTAAAGCGCTGGTCTCATAAGTACATTTTTGAGTTATATTCTCTGCACTATTTAGTAGCTGTGCACATTGGTAGTTAGTAGATCAGGCTCTCGTTTCTTAAATTTTTACAACTATTAACTAATTGAAGCTTCCTTGTTTATCAGGTATGAAGTACCTTACAGCGAGCATAGCAGCTTTACAGAACTCAAAGAGTTTGTAAAACTTGTATCTCATAGCAACATTATACCAAGTGTGAATAACGATGGACCAGAATCTTCTGATGCAATGATTTCTCTATTGTTATCTTGATATGTTAACCAAAAGGGTTTAGTCTTCTGTTGCAATGGGGTCTGTATGAGAAAGTTAAGTAAAGGTTTAATGAATTTTGCCATGCCTTTCCTGCATTTAAGGAAGACCTCAGTGTGCTTGAGTTTTATATAAATAAACTTTTGGAAACCAGCACGCTAGATCAATTTTTAGAGGTACACTTGATTTTTTCGCTTTGCCAAAAGATTAACTATTAAAAGATGACAAAGTGTCAATACTCGGTAGAACTGTTCATCATACTTATATCCAGTAGTATCGAGGTTTATGTCAAATGTGATCTAAATCTGAAGTGATTGCCATTTCCTATTCACATAGAATAAGTTTAAAGAACCTATTTCTTTTTCTCTTGTAGTTCAGAAGCTAAGCAGCCCACTGATTTTCCTGAACAGGGTCGTAACTTGTGAAATTGTTACACAGAAGTTATTGTTGTTCATAAAAAGGATAATCGTAACTTGCTCTTCACGTTAAATGGTCATATAGTAGACAGCAAATGTATTAGTGCTTTCATTGTCTATATACAGTACTGGTTTTCGTCAGTTGCTACATTAGCATTTTAAGTTCTTTTAAGGGAGGAATGGTAGGACTGCATTTTTTGCGTCGTAGAACCTCGTTCTATTGTTTTGGTCCTCCTGGAGGATTGGACTTTGGATTGTGTTTTTATCATCCGATTCAGAAAATTGATCAAATTCTGGTATAGAGTCATCATAGTGAGGTCAATCAAACTCGGCAGGCTTTGAGTTGGGCTTATTGAAAGAAATTACAAACTCCACTACGAGCGAAATTGAATTTAGCTCATTAAAAATATTGTTCTTTCAGGTTGGGTTTAAAAAAAACCGCTATGCATTCCAACAACTCAACGTAATTAAAAAAAAAAGTGTAGGATTTTGATCTTTTTAGCTTCGTGCTCTACTATCTCGATCTTTTTTTTTCTTCTACTTTAGTGATTTTGATTTAATATTGTTATTTATAGCATGCTGAATTAATTTTTTGGATTATTTAAATTTTATTGGAACGTTATTTAAAATAATTATATATATATATATATATTTTTTTTCTTTTTGTTATCGTCACCATAAATATGATGATTTTTTATGGTTATTTTTGTAATTTAAAATTTGATTTTATACCTACATACGAAGGGAGATGAACTGTCTAATTCAATAAATCCGGGTGATGAAACCAAAATAAACTTAAAAGATTGGACGGTTGATCCCGAAAACATTCTTCTAGAGACATTAAGAAGTAGGTTTACATGTAAATATTGATTAGTCTAATGGGCCGAAGTTGGACTGTGATTAAAGATCTCGCTAATTTTATACTCACTTCAAAAACTATAAATAAAAGTAAAAAATAAGAAATATGTGATCTCTGTGCATTTAAGACTATTATTTTGACAACTGTACAAATTGTTTGTTAACTTAGCCATACCACTTTGAAGAGGAGATTGTAAAAGTGTTTTGTAGTTACTTAACCTTACACCTGTTCAATTTTCATAATGGTCCTTAATTTTGAAAATTGATATCAATTGAGTCCTTTCCGTTAAGTTGGCTGGACGGCGTTAAAAAAATCGATGAGTGGGATGCTGAGATGACGAACGAACCTTCGTCCACCAGCGAACGAACGCTCGTCCACCAGCGAACGAACGCTCGTCCACCAGCGAACGAACGCTCGGCGACCACTGAACGAACGGTCGTCCAGTGTGGAACGAACGGTCGTCCAGCGGTAAGAGGTCGACGAGCGTTCGTTCAGTGGTGGACGAGCGTTCGTTCACTGTTGGACGAGCGTTCTTTCGTCATCTTAGCATCTCACTCATCAATTTTTTTAACGCCGTCCAGTCAACTTAACGGAAAGGACTCAATTGATATGAATTTTCAAAATTAAGGACTATTTTGATACACTTTAAAAAACGAGGACCCAATTGAGACATTCGTACATAAATAGGGATGTAGTAAAGGATTAAACCTTAAAAAAAATAAATTTAAAAAGAAGATCATAACATTTTAACATTAAGTAAATTGACCTGTTTTATCCAACGAGCATTTGGTCTGTTAAATCAAACTTAATTTTAAGTTTCCTAAAGAGTAAACTTGGTTGAGTTAACCTATAGTATCAGTTATTTGTAAAATCCTATTTGTATAATAAAGTTTTGTCTAGAATGGTGAAACTTTTGATCTGTCCATGATTCAACAAAAATGAACTGAGTGGGACAGGTTCGTCACTAAAAAATACATTAAAAATTATAACTAATTTTGTTGTAAGACGAGTTAGTCTGTGTTTTTTTAACTATTTTTTTAAATTTATATATATATATATATATATATATATATATATATTTGTAAATAAATATTAAAAATATATTTAATCATATTTGAATAATTAATATTTTTAATTAGATAAATTAAAATAATTATATTCACATTTTAAATTATTCTATTATATTTAATAATTGAAAATTTAATTTGTATGATTTAAATTAAATAAATTATAATAGTATTGTATATTTACACATCTTTAAAAAAAATATAATATAAAAAATTTAATATTTTAAGTTATTTTTTGTTTTTGATGAAAAAATTTAACAGGCAAAAATCAGACTAGACGAGATAAACCAAAAAAGGCTAGGAAGTTAAAAATTTCAAGAACCCACGCTCTTTTGGTGAGTTGATGGACTCGACCTATTTTACCACCCTTAGTTTTGCCATTGGGATTTCTTTTATAAATAATTATTTTTAACCAACTTTTTATTTAAAGTTTTAATTTTCAAAATAAAAAAGACATTTTGACTTTCTTTCTTAAAGTTTTAATTTTGAAAATAAGAAAGACATTTTCACTTTCTTTCAATAGTCTAAAGTGAGTTTACTGAATTTCTCCTTCAAGCAATTAAGCTCATAATTCAATTTTTCATTACATCTAACAAATTTTCTTTGAATATAGCATCAACAAACTCAACTTTAATATACTCAATCTCTTTTGACAAAAAACTTTTATTTATCATTTTCAAAAGCTTTAAAGAAAAAAATGAAGTTTGAAAGAAACTTATGATAAACTAAATATTAGAGTGTCAACATGAGAAATCTACCATGTCATCAAATTTCTTTGATGAGTAGTTAAACAATTTGCTTGATATGAAATAAATGTTGTTTATCTTTTATATTCTAGTTCACTTCCATTTCACCATTTTGTTATAAGGGATTTTGTTCTTCATAAACACTTTATTCTTTTGAATCTCTCACTCTTCTCCATTTTCGGAGCAACTATTGTAAGATGATGAATGTTGTTTCTTTTTCTTAGTCTTCAAGTTTTCATTACTTACAAGTCCTTTTAATGATTCAACTTTGGAAGTTTTAAAGGAGAATGACTTCTTTTTAATGAATCTCTAATTTTGCAACTCTAACTTGTGTACTTTTAGATTACAGTTTGCTTCAAGACATGGTATTTTACATCTGTTAAGGCTCTTAAAGTTTTTATTTGTGATTTTCATATATATACTAGGTAAAGTTCTCAACACTTTATCAGCACACTTAAAATTATCATAATGTTTATTAAGAGAGTTTTTAACTCATTTTACCTAGTTTGAAAGCGAATGAATATATGGTGTATATCTCTGTGTTTTCCCATACTAAAGAGATCATGTTTGCAAATAAGGAGTTTAAGTTTGTTACCTCTAACCTTTATAAAATTGTCAAACATAATTGTAAAAGTGTTCTACATATCTTTGCCATTATTTAAAACATGAACTTTCTATTTCTCTTTAAACAAAAAGCATATGAGAGCATTGTGTGCTTTCAAGTTCAACCTTTTGTGTCTATGAAAGTCTAAGTATTGGCTTGCCTTTATTTAATGTATATAAGTGTCATATTTAAGGATGTTCATCATGTCTAAATGATAAGATTCAAATAATGTGATTATTATCTATTTCCGAAAATTGCAAATATCTTCTTTAAATAAAGGATATTTACCTTTTTTTTTCTTCATTGTGCTTAAGATTTATTTCTTTAATCTCGGAAAAAAATTAGCTAAAGAGTAAGTTTCAATAGCAATTGAAAGAGGGCTTTAGAAATAAGAGTTTTGACTCAAATTAATAAAAGTACCTTTTTGTTGGAAATTTCACATCGACTATAGATAAGATCAATTTATAGTGCAAACCTCATCTTACAAACTATGGTTTAAGAATTTAACACAATATTTACATTGATTCATGATGAATTGAATTATGTAAAATTCTCTTAAACAAAAAACAAAGGACTTCACTAAATAAATCATATTACAAATATAATTATTATCACTTTTTTATAACAAATATATAAAACATCTTTATGTTATTTGAGAAGACAATGTCATAAAAGCTTCTTCACGCTATTCATTTAAACTCCTTTGTGTTTCATCACATTGTACATCACAATCTCTTAAAGTAAAGTACACAACTTTTTATACTGTTTTATGTACTTGAAATACATCTTATGTTAATGATGTTCTTTTTAACTATCTCTCCATCTCCCACAAACCTTCATTATTAAAATAATTTTTTTATTATTTTTCTTTACAAATTTTAAATTTATATCTTTTATAATATCAAATACTTATATAATAAATCTGTATATCTATTTATTTACGAATTACTTAAGATAAATTAGTATACTTGTCGAAAAGAAAGGCATAAGACATTAAATAAAGAATAAATGTCGTGTATAAAAATAAGGTGAATTAGTTGAAAGTGTTGTAAAACCAATTATTTCTAATAATTAAAGATTATGCTAGACTTTGTACTTATATAGTAAACATATATTTATTATGATTCATTCCTACTCTATGATGACATTCTTGGCTAGTGTGAAAAGTTTTATAATTATTTTGCAGTAACAAAACAAAAAGGCATAAAATTGTGATCGTTGTGAAACATGTTACATTAACAATTTCGTGTCAACTTTTGTATGGGAAGTTGTTCAAAGTCCACTATGCAATTTTTATTCTATCAACTAGTGTTCTTAACATTCCATATCACCTAGAAAGGGAAAACACCCAATATTTGACCGTTGAAATGTCATGAAAATTAATGAAAAAAGGAAGAGGTCAAACTTAAATCCTCGAAGAACTCATGAAGAACAAAAGAAGAAATCTACTTCACTCAAAATT